AGGGAAAGTCTAAGTAATAGGCAATGTGGGCACCAACTCCCTGTTCCAGATTCATAGATAGAAAAATCAAGCAGGTGCCAAGTGTGGGAGTTCTGAATGGGCCAGGCAGAGCTATGGAAAGGACTAACACTGAGAGACCAGCTTAAAGGGTTTTTTCCTCAGTAATAGAAAAAGCAAATTCCCATGCATAAAATCCTTCTTCTTTCAAAGATGGTATTTAAAAATAAAGTATTTTGCTCTGTTTCTGGCTATTTTTCTTGATATCTGTATACTGTGCTGAGTGCCAGAGATGCTGCTGTTCTCCATCTATGCAGACATCATTATATCGTCCTGGAGGGGGAGAGGCATGACTATTCTAATTTTTCACATATGAGAAATGACAGGGCTTGTCATGCCCGGAAAGCAGCAGCGGGCAAGGGGCTGCTGGCAAGCATCAGCTCATTTCTTTCTCCTGACAGCCTACCAGTGCTGCCCGGAGCAAGCAAAGGTAAATGGCAATGACAGTAGTACCACTTTCTGGCTGCACAGGAAAACCATGCAGTCAGAGATCCCCTCTGTGCAGCATGGGCCTGGGTCAGCTCTTAGGTGAGAGAGCTCTAAAGGATACCGAGCATGCTTTATGGAGAGACATTGGCTTCCTAGTAGAGGTTGCAATTCTGTCTGTTTTGTATTACTCTCTTGGGATGTAGGCTAGACACTGAAGTGAAGGTGAATCTCCTGACAGTTGAGAGGAGAAGCGCCTGCCCTTTTGAAGGCAGCACTGCACCAGGGTGCTTTGAACACCGTGCTCTTGCAGGTAATGTGAGGTTCCTATTTTGTTTTTTCCTTTGAATGATGCTGTACACCGTTCTGGGTGGTTTATTAGGTCAGAGGCATTAGTGTCATTATCCTGGCTAAGCAGCAAGGTCTCCTTATGTTTCTTTCTTTACATTCCTCTTTTAGCTGCTTTGCAGGTTCTTTCACTTCTAATCCTAACTATAATTTAACCTATATTGTCACATCCTTTTCTGGTAACTAACCCCAGTAATTCCCCTAAGACAAATGAAGACTGTGGGTTTTTTTGTTCTTGACCCTATCCTTAGTTTCTGAGCATGGCAAATTGTAGCTTTGAAGTTAGCCAGGCTTTTGTGGAACTGTGTAGCTGCTTTTCTCCCAATTTGATTCAGGAACTGCTCAGCCATCCAAAGCCTCCTCTAGAGAAAACAGCTTTATTAAAAACAGTAGCAACAGCAAAACAAACTGCCAGAAAACCACTTAACCTGCATGTGTCCTATACCCTGCACCATGCTTTGTTGTACAGTCCTGGTGACTATCTTATGGAGGTGTACCAGCCGTTCATTAGGGGGCCCTGAAAGACAAGGGAAGGGAAGCCAGTGCTCTGTCCTTCTAGCGAATATTTATCCTATTCCATAGAGAAATTTATTGTGCTTGTCTCAACAGAAGTATCCTTGAGTTGACGTAATAATATCAGTCAACAGCCACAGTCTCGGCAAGATGGTTTGACTCATGTATCACTTTCTTATTTGAATTTGTCCTGCTCCTCCAAAAGCCTGTGATGTTTAGCTGCAACATCAGCTGTCTCAGGACACTGCTGTAACTCAGGATTTGCCTTCTGCTCAGCTAAGAGCGCGCAGTCTTGGCCCTGTGCTGGTGCAGGCTTTACTGAGCCAGAGAGAGCACCTTATATCTATCATTCAGTGTAGAGTGGATTAAATATGAAATTCCTGATTTCACTGCATGTAGTAAGTCTTCCTTTGGCATGCGGCTGACTTTTGATTAATAAACGTTGGTTTTCCAAAGTAACCTGACAGAAGGGCTCTATTCCTTCTGTTTTAGAAAATTCCAAGTTGGGCCCTGTTGTGATCTAGGAAATGGTTGACTGTTAGTATTGGGGAAGGTGGCTCCTCTACGTACCCTTGGAGAAACACTTTTCTGTTCTTTAGCATTATCTATGCTGTGAAACGCTACCCCCCCCCCACACACATCTAATATTTTTCTCTTATATATGCCCTTTGCTTCTGAATTGAGTTGGAGTTGCTCATCTGTGTATCATAGGGCCTCTACAGCTAAAGCTTATGGACGTTTTCCATAGTTCACTTTTGGAGCAGGATAAAAGGAATTCTATTTTTGCTGCTAATGAAGTTCTGGGTAACCCAGATGGTACAGTAAAGAGAGAGTAGGAGGAAAACACCACATCAGATGGTGTCAACTGTTGTCACTCTACCTTTGCATCTTTGAAGTTGAGCATTATTTTTTTGCTGGGGGGAGGGAGTCTGACTTTTATATTTGGTAAACCACTGTCTCACCAAATAACAGCCCAAATGATGAATGTC